GCCTCTTCCCCAAGTGGATGAATTGTAGTAAGACAGGCCTGGAATAACAGTAATGCTGGGGTGAAGCAATATGTGATCTGTTAGTCCTGCCTCAGAGGTAGTTTGGGGAGGGATTTGTGCAGTGTACGAAGAGTGAGAGTAAGAAGAAAAAATGCCATGAGAAAAAAAAAATCGGTGGGGAGACAATTCTAGATGTATCAATTAATGATACATTATCGGAAAAACTTGACTGGATCCTGGTTTGGGGGAAAACTGCTGTAGAAGACAATTGGGCTGAAATTCGAGTATGGACTGGAAATTAGATGGTGTTAGGAAATTACTACAGATTTTCTTGGGTGTGAACATAATTTGTGTGGATGTTTACAATGTCCTCGCGCTTAGGAGTGTCCTGCTGAAGTTCTTGGGGGTGAAGCGTCGTGATATCTGCAGGTTATTTCCAAATGTTTCAGCCAAAGAAGTCTGGAGAGAGAAAGCGATATAGAGCAGATGTGACAAGTGTTGCAATGAGGCGAAGCGTTTCTCTACTCCTTTTAGCTTGGTATGTTTGAATGCTTTAAAAATGTCGAAAGGGAGAAAGGGAGTTACTTGTAAGTCAAATACTTCTTGGGTATCTGAGTCAGGCACATCAGAGATGTTTTGTGTCCCCTGTCTCTCTTAGTCTCACCCCTTCTACTGGGAACCAGAGCTCCCTGGAGGGAAGGCTGGAAGGTGAAGGTGGCAGACCCCTACTGAGGACTAATGTATTATTAGCCGTCCAGGCAGCTTGCAGTGTGGAATGCTCGCTCTTGCCCTAATGGCCACCAAGCCAGGCCAAGCCACCTAGTGGGGTTAGACAGGTGGAGGCGAGGGTCAGCACAATCCTCACAACAACTCAGATGGAGATACCGAGGATCAGAAGGGTTGGTACTTTTAACCATGGTCTCACAGCTGTATGGAGAGATGATTTGAACCCAGAGACCTAGGACCCGTGCTGCTAACCACAGTGGTGGGCCTGCATCTGCAGAATGTGGAGCTCACTCTGACCCTGCACTTTAAGAAAGATGCAAAGAGAGCAAATGAGACTGAGAGCTACCAGGAGAATGGGAGAGGCTGAATGAAAAACTTGAATGAAAAACTCTGGGGATGGGGTCTGTACAGGTAATAAGGACTTGGGGTAAATGCAATGTCCTTAAGGGCTCAGAGATGTTATATGGGAAAGCAAAGAGGGTTACTTTGCACAGCAGAATAAGGACAAGCAAAAGCAGTCAACTTTCTTTTTTTTTTATTTAAATATTTTATTTTATATAATTCTTACATCTTTTTTCATCTTTGCACAATGTATGTATTTTCATTTTGGTTATATTCCCCATGCAATTGCACCCCCACCCTTATTTTGACTCTAGTCCTTCCTTTCCTCACTCCTCTCCCCCCTCCCCCTCACCCCGTAGTGTGTCTCTGGTTTATAGTTGCTTGTTGATTTCGATTTTTATTCTGTATTGATTAGTCTTTTTCCTGGTCTCTTACTTAGATTTTCTAAATTCCTGCTATGAGTGAGACCATCTGGTATTTTTCTTTTTCTTTCTGACTTATTTCACTGAGCAGGATCCCTTCTAGCTCCATTCATGTTGCAAAAGCAGTCAACTTTCTAAGATTAGAGTTATCCCAAGCTGGAATGGGCTGCTTTGTGAGGTAGTGAGTTCCCTGGCGCTGAAAGCATTCAAGCTCCGGCTGGATAGCCATTACCTTTCTTCTTTGGGGTGCTACTCCCTATCTCTTCTCAAAGTGCCTACAGCATTGCTGAGGCCTGCTGATATGGCGACATCCTCATTGCTATTGGTTTCCTGATTACTCATTTCATACAGCTTTGCTGAGGTATAATTTACACTCCATACAATTCACCCATTGCAAGCAAGCTCCTGGGCTCAGTAAATGTATACAGTGGTACCCCGGTGATCACTGTGGTGATCGATTCTGTTTCCCAAAGAATATTCTAAGCAGTGGACAAGAGGTTCAGGTCTCCCTTGGCTGTGGTGTACTCATGGCTGGCACTTCTCTGTGCAACCCTATGTCCCAAGATCTAGCACTCCCCGGGTTCTCTCCTGGACTTCCTTCTGCCAGCCTCTGGTGACCAAAGTCTAGTCTTGAGCACAGGCCCAAGGCAGTGATGTGGACTGGAAGGCTCTGGGGCCTGGGTGCCTCAGATCTGCCTTTGAATTATTACCATGTAACCTCTGGCACGCCGCTTTCTTGAATCTTGGTTTCCCCCTTTGCAAACAGATAAAAAAAAAATGGACTTTGCCGGGTGTGAAGGTGAGAGGTGATGTGTAAAGCACACAGATGGGTCTCTGAATGCTCAACTAGTGGCCGTGATGACGCTAATACTGCTGCTGCCTTTACTATTATTGGCACTCTCAAATCCTCCGCTCTAGATGCGCTTGTCCTGCTCTTACAGGCATGTCTCTGGCTCTAGACCCCATCTCCTGCATTACTTGCCTGGGTCTCCTACACTGGGGAGCCAGTGGCCTCAGCTGGCAAGGGCTGCAGCTCAGTGGGATGGAGCGGCAGCACCACCTAGTGGCAATAAGCTGCCGTCAGCTATTTCCTGGTCAAATCCGGAGCTCAGTGGACAAGACACCTAAGGGCACCAACTCAGTTGTCCATTGGTGCCTGTGCGGTCATAGCATTCCATGCCATGCCTTAGAGTAAAAGAAGCAGCTTAGATGAATAAGAATTAACAAAAGAAGTCCTTAACGTTGTGCCCTTAGAGACCAAGGTTGGTGAAAAAGCAGCGTCCCCACCAAATCTATAGATGGAAAGGTCGGTGGTTAGTGGCTGTCTAGGCCTGGGATGTGAGGGACGTGGTACTGGGGAGCCGGTACTAGGTTTCTCTTTGGCATGATGGACATGCTCTTGAATTGACTGTGGTGATGTTGCACTTATCTGTAAGCAGACAAACGACGCTTGATTATATAAGCAGGGTTGCTGTCCTTTTTTTTTTTTTTTTTTAATTTTTGTTTTTAAGATTTATTTATTTATTTATTTATTTCTACAAGCACTGGGTACCATCAGAGGCGCGGGAGGGTGAGAGAATTCATCAGAGCCAGAGTGGGGAGCAGAGCAGGCAGAAGGACCGAAGTACACTGCTGAGGGGAGCAGCCGGTGGCAGGAGAGGCGTGCCGTGTGGGACCCTCCTCCGGTGGCCGGGGAGCGGCCGGGGATCGAAAACGCCCTGCAGAGGCTGCGGGCAGCTTCGCAACCCAGCGCTCAACCGCTGCGCCACTGGGGAGGCCCAGGGTTGCTGCCTTGTATATGAATTAGACCTCAATAAAGGTGCTACCAAGGAAGGGTGAATTGTTGAAATTGTCAACAATTTCAAAAGAAAAAAATCTCCGGAACACATGGTCAGATTTTCTGCAGGCCATTTGACAAGGGTTATCAGACACCCTCTGACCAAGGATGCAGGTCACTCCCAGGTGTCACTTCATGTGAAGTATGAAACTTTAGCAAAGGCACCTAAGCAACTCACATGCAGCTGTCCAGTCCTGTGAAGGCATCATCTCAACTAGATCAGATGACATGACACTCAATATACAGAAATGACTCACAATACCCCCTATTTCAGGCAATCACAAAGCTGTACTTTCAAGTGAGCCTGAAAACTTCCATTTTCAAGCAAGAAAACAAGAGGCCAACCGATTTCAGCCATTCATGAGTGAGCTCTAATGCAGGCCTTGGCTTCAATTCCAGATTGAGCCCTTGCCCCTCCAAGGGGGTGACTGGGCGTGCCACTTCCCCCCTGCTCCCCTGCAGGATTTGGAGAGAGAGTGCTTTCTTAGAGTGCCTTTCCCTCAAGGTAATCAATTTGAGCTGCCTGACCACAGGGCAGTCTCTTCCCTGGGGCTCTGCTTCATCTGTAACTAGGGACTGAAGCTATGGCCAGGCCAGCAGTACGCCAGCATTTTCCAGAGCAGGAGCTCCCGTCTCCCACCGGGGCAGAACAGGCAAATCCATAGAAGCAGAAAGAAGGGAAAAGAGGAATGGAGAGGGGATGCTAATGAATCCAGGATTTCTCTTTAGGGGGATGAAAAGCAACCAATAATGGTGGTTGTACAACTATGAATATACTAAAAACCACAGGATGAGGCTGGGAGGCGGAAAGAAGGTGGCACACAGCCATGTGCTTTTTGAAACAAAAGCACATCAGCTGGCCGTATTGGCACTTAGCATGGTTAGGACAGGACGGGGCCTTCAGCCAGTTGGAAGGTGAACAGAGCAAGAAAGGACCAGTGTCTCCCCACCCCATCCCATCCCACGCCTGTAATGTTGATCCGCCTGTGATGTTGATCCGTATCAAGAATCCCCAGGGAGGGCCTTCCCTGGTGGCGCAGGGGTTGAGCGCTGGACTGCAAAGCTGCCCGCAGCCTCTGCAGTGCCCGTTTGATCCCCGGCCGCCAGGTGAGGGTCCTACACGACACGCAGACTTCTCCTGCCGCCCGCTGCTCCCCTCAGCAGTGTACTTCGTCAATCTGCCTGTTCTGTTCTCCACTCTGGCTCTGGTGAAGCCTCTCACCCTCCCGCGCTTCTGACTGTACCCAGTGCTTGTATAAATTTAAAAAAAAAAAAAAATCCTCAGGGAAACGCCAGAGCAAGGTCTAGAGAGATCTGAGACATTTAATTCTCACATCCCTACGAGGTAGCTATTTTGCTCACTTAACGGTTAAGCAAAGAGGCTCAGAATATGGAAGCTAAGTGACTGGGCTGAGGCAGCGCTAGCGAGGAACACAGCTGCAACGTGACCATGACTTTCAGGACCCAGGTCTGTGCTCAGTCACCACACAGATGCGCACGCCCCCATTGACCCCACCCCTCCAGCTCCACAATCATAGACTGCCAAGCTGGATGTGTGAGGAACAGCAGGCTGCTTGGGCACAGGCAGGGGACGGCCTACGTGGTTGTCTGTTGCACAAGCGCCCCAAGAGCTTTCAACAGAAAGTCTGCTGAGGGGAGAGGGATTTTAAAGTAGTTCAAGACACTGAGAAGCCCATGGCCAGCCTTCCCTCCTTCCAAAGCAAGTTCTTTATTGTCCAACCAATCAACAGGTCAGCACGGCCCAGCACAGCACCAGGCACGCACACTGAGCATAAATACAGAGTGAAAGACACCGTCCATGCCAACTGAGACGTACAATTGAATTATTTTCCATAATTATTCCATGTTTAAAAATCAAATCTGGACTTGGCTGCCAGTATTGCAATGAACATTCTTTAAAGTCAGCATTTTAAAGGGAAACATTTACACCCCACATTAATCACAGTAGGAAATTTCTTCCTAGTTAAATCAACTTCATTGTTATCACTAAGAAGGTTTGGGTTAAATTTACCTTATCTTCCCTCCCTCTGTAACTGGATAAAGATTTTCTGAGAAGAAATTTTAAATAGTAAACAGACTAGAGGAAGTGCTCAGGTCCGAGTGCAGCCTCGGTTACTGGGCAAAGGAGCGTCAGATTGCGTGCGAGCTGAGCTCGTCTTCAGACCATTTTTATTAATATTTCCACACATGACATTATTGCCATCCAGAAGAGGGAATCAGCGCCACGGTGAAAGGTCCAGACTAGACATTGTTTCATAGCAAAATTTAGCACCAACTCGAGGGCAATACAAGGGGTTGCTGGGAATTCCGTCCCCAAAATGAACTTCTTGATTCTCTCACGAACTCTCAGAACTCACAGGTGTGTGGTTCTGGGAGCAGGACCACCTAAAACCGGAAGCGGGACTAAGGTAACTATACACAGTGATGATTTCATCCCAGGAGCGAGCCTCCTGCTTCAAGCAGAGAACATTCAGCACAGAGCAGAGAAGTGGGAGCAGCAGTCTCGGGAGCCTGAACTCCGAGATGGTGGTGCGAGGACACGCACGTGACGTCACCTCACCTGACCCTTCATCTGACGGAGAGGGCCCAGGTAGGGCCTCACACTGGTCACTACCCCCAGTGGTCTCCATTTGGCAAGTAAGAGACAAGTAAGGGGAGGAAGTACTGTTAGGGAAGGACTGGCTATCTAGTGTTACGGAGTCATTACACTCTCTTGGAAAAAGATCACTGATTCCTTTAAATAAAGCACGTTAAACCAAGAAGTCCAGGCTAGGATGTAACGTAAGGGAAAAGTTCCCATCTGAACTCCAGATCAGTGGCGAGCAAGTACCTTCTCTTTCTCGCGATCACTTGCTTTTCAAAGTCAGTTGTTAACTCTGGCTGTGAACGGGAGTGAAGGGCGGTCCCTGTCTTTTTACAGAAGGACACCCAAGTCTAACTGGACCCCAAGGACACAGAGGTCAGGTCCGGGACTGCCCAAATGAACTCAGTCCAGGTGCCAACCATCTCCTTCCCCCTCGAAGACCACTCTGGCTGCTGTGCATCAGTAAGCCTTCGGGACTCCCCCCTCCACTGCAAAACTGACCATCAAAGTGACTGAAATGGAAGGTAGCGTTTAAAATGTAACACTGGTTTTGCTTAAATGTAAGACCGGTTTTCTTATAGCATGTATAAGGCACGGTGTGAGAAAGCTGCTCCCACGCCCAGCCACACATCCACACTTGGCTCCTCACACGCACACATGCACACAGAAGAGGCCAGCTGAGTTGCCACGATGCACAGGGAACGGGGAGCTTCCGATCACTTCTGGTTTTTGAGCTGGTTGGAGAGCCAGTCCAAGCCTTCGTAGAGCCCGTCTCCGCTGGTGGCACAAGTAGCCTGAATGTACCAGTTTCTCTGGCGGAGGGAATGTAAGCCAAGTTTGTCTGTTATCTCTGCTGCGTTCATCGCATTGGGAAGATCCTTGAAAGAGAGTATTCAAAAGTCAGCTTATGATGCCGTGTTTACAAAATGAAATATTCTCTACCCCAAAACCTGCCCCAACCCAGTGTTACCTCAGCCGTCCAGTTAGTTACTCAGCCCCCAGACCTTCAACTTAACCTTTCTCTCAACACTCACAATTCCACATCAGGAAATCCTACTGGCTCCACCATCAGTCTCAGGATCCGACCACTTCTCACTGCCCCCACAATGACCCTGTTGCCATCACATTTCTCACTTGGGTTACTGAAGTAACTTCCTAATTGGTCTCCTGTTTCTGCTCTTGCTCCCCAGTCTATTCCCAGCCCAGCAGTGAGTGAGAGCCAAGTCCCGCAACATCTCAGTCTCTCAGGGTAAGAGCCAGGGGCCTTGGGATGGTTGGCAAGGCCTTCGTGACCTGAGCCCCACGGCCCCTCTTCATTGTCCTGCTCAGTCATCTCTTAAATGCAGCGCTACTGCCTGTTACTATATGGTGCCATTTACTCACTGAGCCTGTCTATTATTATCCACCTCCCCTAACTAGAAGGCAAATTCTGCAGGGGCCAGAATCCCTAACTATCTGGTTCTCCGCGGTATCCCAAGTGCCTAGACCCATGTCTGACAGAATAAGCTCAAACTTAATTGGAAGAAATGAGTATTTAAGAACAAGGTAGGTCTAGATGTGCTGACATGGAAGGGCACCAAAGGTGTGCTGAGCCAAAAAGCTGGTTGTGAAAGCAAACACAGAATATGATCTCGAGGATTGGAAAATGAGTAGAATCAGATAACTGCCTTTAATAGGCATTGACAGTTCTATCTCTGGGAAGAGAGAAAAGAAATTTAACAATGTTTCACCCTGAGGGGTGGGGTTGAAATATTTCACTTGATATTCTGAACTGCTGGCATACTGAGACCACGAGCATGTTCTGTTTTTATCATCAAAAAGAACAAGCTGGTTATTTTCCTTTTTGAAAGTCCGTCGTGTTCACTAGTGAACTTCTGGACTGGCATCGAGCCAAAAAGTAGGGCAATGTTTGTGTGAAGGATGACCCGTCACCACGTAAAATCACGATTACCAAGAGTTGCATGACAAGAGAACATGTTTTTGATAAATCTGAAGTGACACAACAGGATGCAGCCCTGTCAGAGCAGCATGATTTCAGTTATGTGAGGAAATGTGCTCGTGGGGGAGAAAGTAGAAGGAAACCGTCACACGAATGGCGCTCATCTCGGGCGCGCTCGTATTTCCGCTTAGTTCAGCTCCGAGGGCTAAGGCAGGTGGCTCCACGTGTGGGCCTTGCTCACTCTGCTTTTGCGGTTTCGCTCCTCCGAGACAGGCCCTGTATGATCTGAGCTCCTCTCACCCCTCACTGCCCGCCCCCCAACCCCGCGCCAGCTGCACTGGCTGCCTGGCAGTCCCCAGAAGTGCGGGGCTCCTTTCCCACGGCCGTCAAGACTCTGCTCAGATGTCATGTAGTCAGAGAGGTGCTCTGGCCCTACCCCACATCCACCACGCCCCTCCTCTGTTCTGCTTCCCCCCACAACACTCCTACCAGACACGCAGCTTACTGACTGGTTCTCTGCTAGCCTGAAAGTCTATTAACACAGGGCTGTTAGCCTGTCTTGTGCACGGTTCTATCAGCAATGGCTAAAACAACATGTGAACTGAGTATCAATAGATGTTCCACCAATAGTAGTTGAGTGAGTGAATCAAGATTATAAAGCAGGTGGAGAGAGAGAGTACTGCAGGGGCTGGAGAGAGGGAAGAAGACATCTAATTTAAGTATCTGTATTTTTAAGTGAGGAATCAGGCTGTCAATTTCCGTCCCAGGACTGAGAGAGCCAACAGCATACCTGTTTATTTACAAAAACCAATAAAACTGCATCTCTGAGCTCATCTTCTGCTAACATTCTGGTTAGTTCTTCTCGGGCCTCGTTGACCCGCTCTCGGTCATTACTGTCAACCACAAAAATCAGACCTGAAAGGAAATCACAAGCATGTTAGTAATCTGAGCCCAGACAGAGTGGCTGTTTTTATGTCCTCACAGCTTTTCTGGGTGTGGTTTCACTGAAAGCAATCTATATGGAAGGATATATAATCTCAAATTAGGAAGGCTGCTGTATACTCCACTAACCTATCTTTTCCAGAAGTCTCACAGCCCTTCACTGGGTTAACAGTAACAACAGGGGAAAGGCGAGGCTAGTGTTCAGTCACTCATTTCTACCACATGCCTATGTAAGGAAGTCCCGATAAAAACCGAACGTTGTTCAGACCAGCTCCCCTGCTTGGCAATACTCTGCATGAGTCACACACCCGTGAGCCGGAAGGGTAACACTTCCTGGCCCCCAGGAGAGGGGACAATGGAAGCCCAGATCTCATTCTATACATTTCTCCCTTTAGCTGGCTCATTTGTATCCTTTTGCTATATTATAGCAAAAGGATAGTGATTTAAATAGAGCACTTTCCTGACACCTGGGTCAGGAAAGTGCTCTATTTCTAACAAATTACACAACCCAGGGAAGTGAGGGATACGCCAAATTTGTAGCTGCTAATCAGAAGTGAGGGTAGTCTGGGACTCCCCAACTGGCAGCTGGTGTCTGAAGTGAGGTGTCTGAAGCTGTGAGGACCATCACCTGAAAAGTTGGACCCAACTCTAGGCGGGGGGTAGGGGTGGTCAGAAGCCTCTCAGCATGCCACCGCAGCATGAGGGGAGAGATGGGCGAAGAAAGGCTCGGCCACTGTACCAGCACGAAGGTGGTTGAGGCCTGGGGAGACCCACCACTGCCACAGTGGCTGGAACAAGCAGATGACCTCATTTCCTTCTGACAATGAGTTTCACAACTATGTCGAGGAAGGGAAACGGGGGGTGAACCACTCTCTTTCCTTTCCCTCCATGCTTCCCAGATCCATCCAACAGCTGTCTGACCAGCAACCATTCCAGCAGATAGGAGCTCTGGCGGCTCCTGAATGTTTGGTTGAGATGGTAGATGGCAGCAGAGAAAAAAATGCCAAATATTCCACCCCACCCTACCCTGAAGAGCCATATGCTTCCAGCAGTGCTGGACTCTGCTCATAACTACATAAACAAGGTTATCCAGAAATTTGAAGATATCCTTTGTGATCCGGGATATCATCCCTTTGCAATTCCTAATATAAATAAAGGTTTATAAATATTAGGTTCCATTTCTATTGTTTGGATGTTGAGCCTTATCTGGGAAGCAAAACAAGTAGCATCAGACAGACCATACTTTTGTATTGAGAAAAAGGGTAAATTTAGACATGAAAAGTATACTAGAATTGTTTTTCAAAGGGAGAAATATGTATCTATAGCTGCTTATAAATGTACGAAATATCTCTGGCTAGATAGATAAGAAATAAAAGTGGCTTTCCATGGGAGAGAAACTGGGTAGTTAGGTGTCAGTAAAATGAGAGTAAGTTTTTACTATATAATCTTATTTCTTTTTGAATTTTTAACTAGATAAATATATTGGCCTTCAACAAATTAAAATAAATGAACCTACAGTCAAAGAGAAAAATCTTTCCACATGTGAAGTAATGAATCATTTTATACCTCTGAGATGATATAATCAACTACAAGCCACATAAACAGTTCTGATTTCAATCTATACAAGTGAAACCTACACATTGTTAAGTATCTTAATAGAGAACTAAGTTCTATTGAGTCTCTTATATACAACATACTGATGAAGAAGAAAATGTAAATGTGAAAAACCAGCCTGAACTGGGAAGTTGGCAGAAAAACAGAGACAATACAGGTTCCAACTAGGGAATTAGGCATTATTTATAGTTAGCCTATAAAGGCAGGATTACCTCCACTTTATAGATGAAGAAATTGAGACAGAGAATAATTACTTAACTTTCCCAAGGTTCCACAGCAGAGGTGTGATTCAAACCCACATTTTCTAGTTCTATTATAGATGAAGAACTGCAATAGTTTGGCCAGTATGGCAAATGCCAATCCAAGACTAATGAACACTTGGACTATCAAAAAGATTACTCATCTCTTCTCTACAGAGGGATGATTTTGCGATTCTCAACAGGTTTAAAATATTTAAGTGAATTCAAATTCTTCAAAAACTGAAACTTCATCTAAGGCACATATAACTCTTAACCAAAAAATGAAATTTTGCTTCTAGCATCCATCTATAAAAGCATTTAATATATATATATTTCCAAGTCTATAGATCAGATAATCTTTACCTTGGGTGTTCTGGAAATAATGTCGCCACAGAGGTCTGATTTTGTCCTGGCCACCAACATCCCAGACTGTGAAGCTGATATTTTTATATTCTACTGTCTCCACATTGAAACCTAAATTGGGAAGATGGAGAAATTTTTCATGAAGACTTTCATTGGCTGAACAATTCAAAATAATTTCAACTAACATTTGGATAGTACTTTTAATATGCAACACAGCTTGTGAGTTACTAAACACTGTATGGTTCCCCCCGCCCATTCATCACCACAGGTGTTTCAAACCTTCTCTGTTCTCTCCAGCTTCCATCTTGCACCCCTTTCTCTTTCTCTCAGCAGAATATCCTCAGCCCTGTTGCTCACAACAAAGAGAAGCACTGATTTCCACATCCCACCTGTGTAGAAATCTACCTACCCTCAACCTATAAAGATAGAGCTTCCATGTGATCCAGCAATTCCACTCCTGGGAATTTACCCAAAGGACACAGAAACATTAATTCAAAAGAGCACCTGCACCCCTATGTTTATAGCAGCACTATTTACAATAACTAAGCTATGGAAACAACCCAAATGCCCAAAAATAGATGACTGGATCAAGAAGATGTGGTACATATACACAATGGAATATTACTCAGCAATAAAAAAAAGATAAACTCATGCAATTTGCAGCAACATGGATGGACCTGGAAGGGATCATGCTCAGCGAAATAAGCCAGAAAGAAAAAGAAAAATACCGGATGGTCTCACTCATAGCAGGAATCTAGAAAACCTAAATAAGGGACCAGGAAAAAGACTAATTATAATAAAGAAAAAATCAAAACCAATAAGCAACTATAAACCAGAGACACACTACCAGGGTGTGGCGGGGGTGGGGGGGCGGTATGTGGAGGAGAGGAGGGATTAGGGTCAAAATAAAGGGGGTGGGAATTGTATGGGGGATACAACCAAAATGAAAATGCATACACTGTGCAAAAATGAAAAATGATGTAAGAATTATATAAAATAAAATAAATTAAAAAATAAATAAATTTAGGTTCCCATCAGGAACTACAGTTTTGATATTCAAAAAAAAAAATCTACCTACCTACATCTTTACCCAAACTCTCCTCCCTCCTGCTTGGAACAGAGGGAGCAACTCTCTAATGCCAATTCCGCACACTCTGGGACCTTTCACTGTTGCCCGCCCCATCACCTTGAATATCTCCAATATTCTCTTCTCAGCATGCCGGTCTTTGACATCTTTCAAAAAACCTTCCTTGATGACACAGCCTCACAGCTACCACCCTCTATTTTTCCTTTTAAAGTCAAACTTCTCTAAGACTTTTGGCTACATTCACTGTGCCTACTGTCACCTCTCACCCAGGAGCAACTTAGCTCTGCCTCACCATGTTATCCAGATGGTCTCACCAAGAAATCCCCCCACACACACCCCCGCCGTGATCTTTAGTTCTTTGGGAATTTGATGTTATTCCTGACACTACTGCTCATTTTCCTTTTTCCCCCTCTATTCTATGCTGTACCTTCCCCAAGCTCCTTGACGAGCTCAGACACAGCTAATGATCGTTAAGTGGTAAAAGTTTCCATGACTCTGTCTTGTCCCATCCAGTCTCCTCTTTCCAACCTCCACCCACATTTCATCTGTTCCTGGGGCTTCATAATCATCTTTGTGCTCTCAAGTTTACAGTACCCTGAGCCAGATCTCTTCCGCACTGCAGGCTCATAGTCCATCTTTGCTTTGATGTTCCAAAGCAACGTACCAAAACTTAAGATTTTCATTCCATTAACCAATTTCTCTACCAGACATTGCCTCACGGACTTCATTTCGCAAGCTGGAAACCTGGGAGGTGTCTTGACATTTCCAAATCACTAACTCCCTGAAATCTCATGACCAAATCTCAATTCAACCTATCTACCTACTAGTCACCCTAAGAAGCCATTATTTTTAGGCTCAATTAATGACACAGCCTAACTAATTTCCCTGCATCCATTCTTCATCTCATTATCCATTCACCATTTTAAAATCAAAGCTATCAAAACTATATAATGTGTCATATCATTTCTCTATACATTTATGCTTGATTGAAATATTTAAAATAATAATAATTAAAAAAAAAAAACTTCTTGGCTTCCCACACCCCAATCCCAACCAACACTATAATCAAGGCCACAGTCTGGACCTACTCACTTTCCAAATTTCAGTTCTAGTCATGTCTTATTTTAGAAAGGGCCACTCATTACACTGCCACAATCTCAATTCTTACTAAACAATGTATAAACCTAATGCCACTCCAATTCGAAAGTGATGGGGAAGCAGAGGGAAGGCAGGAAACTTAGCAAAATGATCTTAAATTTAGTGAGGAAAAATAAGTAAGCATAACCAGGAAATCTCTGAAAATGAATTATAAATTATTTTAAAAAACATTATCGGGCCTCCCCTGGTGGTGCAGTGGTTGAGCGCTGGGCTGCAAGGCTGCCCGCAGCCTCTGCAGCGCCGGTTTGTTCCCCGGCTGCTGGCAAGGGTCCCACAAAAAAAAAAAAAAAAAATTATCAAAGCCTGGTAATACCTGACATAATCGCATTCAAATGAATACAGTAGGGAGTTGTCCAGAAAAAGAGGCATGTACTTGGGGATATTTATTCATGATAAAATCAGCATGGACAATACTGTCAGTAGATGGCACTGGACATCAGTCTACCCTGTCTGTGTCTAAACAATATGTGGATATTTAATTAAAGCTAAAGACAGTTTAAAAAAAAAAAAAGCTAAAGACAGTTATAAGTTCAGCTCTTCAGTCACACCAGCCACATTTCAAGAGTCCCACAGTCACTTGTGGCTAATGGCTACTACACAAAATAGCACAGACAGAACATTCCCGTCATCACAGCAAGTTCTATTAGACAGCTCTGGTCTACTAATTTGAAAAATACAACCAAGTCCCTAGCTTACTCATAATAGAAAAATAAACTTCAAACGAAAAAAATACTTTTTAAAAATTAAGTGAAAATAACCTATAAAATTAGCAGGAGAAAATATTGGTGAATATTTTTATGATCTTAGAATGGGGAAAATCTAAAAATATTTCCTAAAGTAATAAATGGGGGGGAGGAAAAGGGAAGGTAAATTTGACCACCTCATAACTTTAAACTGCCTTATGGAAAAACACAGAAAAAATAAGGTTCAAAGAAAAACTAGAAAGTGTAACCACCACATGACAAGAAGTGTTCCTGACCAGGCTGATCTGCTTTAAATCAATGAGACAGATAAACATCCCAACATAAAAAAAGTTGACCAATATTAAAAACAAGTCAGAGAACAAAAACAAATGGCCAATGAACACTCGAATATATTCACTTAAAATAAATCTGAAGTCAGATTGGCAAATTCCCTGGAGAAGTGAACACTTTTTATAGTTGGTGACACAACCTTTTTGGGGAACAGTCAAGTAAAAGAGTACCCACATTTTAAAATGCACACAAATTTTAACATAGCAACCCTTTCTCCAGGGATTAAAGGTAGGGACATTTATAAAAATGTTAAAGATGCTTAGTTTAGCACCATTTATAATAACCATCACAAATACTCTAATCATCCATCAATGGAAAATTGTTTAAAATACAGCCACAAAATGGAATACTATCCAGTTATTAAAATTTGACGTCATTTTGTATGGGTCTTGTTATTTAAGCCCAAAATTTAGTGGCTTAGAACAATGATTTCCCCCCCAAAATTCTCTGGGGTGCCTAGGCTTCCTCTGGTAGCTCCATTCAACCATCAAGTCCCTCGGGGGCTGTGCTGGACCTCTCTCTCTCCTGGTGGTCTTTTTTATCCTGGAGGAGCATTGAGCTTCATCAAAAGGTTGTGGCAATGTGCCAGAAGGGCAAGCCCCAAGACACAAGCACATATTCAAATTACATTTGCTGATGCCCCCTTGGCCAAGTCTGGCTAAGCTCAGCATCACTATGAAACAAGACTGCCCAAGGGTGTGGCTGTGAGGGGTACGATCCACTAGGGCCCATTAGTTTAACACTCTACCACAAGGTCGGCATTCAGTTCATTCACCAAGAGTTTATTGGGCATCTAATGTGAGTCAGGCATTTCACTGGGCTTAGCGGTGAACGAGACAGACAAGATTCCTGGTCTTATTTACACTGTTGGGAGGAAGAGACTGAGCAAGCAATGACAAATGTGCCCCGAGTTACTAAGAAGTTCAGGTTGCTATGGAAACTAATAACAAGGGGAAACCAATCCAAGTGGTTAGGAAAAGTGTCCCTGAGAAATGTTTAAACAGGGACAAAAGAATGAGTTGGCATTAGCTAGATAAAGGGGGAGGAGCTAAGGAAGAAGGCAGGAAAGCATTCCACAGAGAGGAAATGATATAAGTGAGATCCAAACAAACTGTCCAATGCATAAGCTGGAAAACAGCATGCATAGACATTCACCAAAATCTTAATAGAACGTTTTTTAAAAAATTGTATGTTTTTCTGCATGTCTGAAATCACAGAGGCGTAAATTATTTTTCCAATTGGAGAAAACCAAGCAATTATACTATTTTCACTTTGGACTAATAACATTTTTTAAACTATGGGTATGAACATTTTCTCCATCTGGTTTCCTGTTTCTTCAAATGTTGCAATCTCAGAAGCTCCTGCCCACATTGGAAATTGGTCATTTGGTCCCTGTGCCTAATCTAACATTCAGAACACCACTGACATTCACATGCCATCTGGGGAGTCCTTCTCACTCAGGAGTTTGGATCCAGAGGCCGGTCATAAGGTAAAGATTAAGCTCTGTCAAAACAAAGATTAAGCTCTGTCAAAACTGCCTTTGCAAAATGCTTAAATAGCCTATTTTGGTTCACATAACTACACTGTCAGACTGTCCCCTTGCATTGAACAAATCATATTTTTCAATTGGACACCAGTTCTGGCTTGAACCAAAGTGAAAAGTAAAAAATGTAATCACGCTGTATCTTTAAACACCAGGAGAATACTTGCTGTGAGGAGATGATTCCACTCAGAATGGAGACTGACCTGGGAGGCAACAGCAGATTCCCAGCTCCCGGACTCAGGCAGGGACACATGCTAAAGGAGGGGAATGGTGAGCATAGCCACCCTCACTGTTTCCATCATTACTAGCTTTTTCTTTTCTGCCAAACAGATAGGGTTAAATTTGCTCAACCTAAATGGGTTCATATGACTCTCCTACAACCTAGCAGTGTGCTAAAGATGCCAAAGAATAGTTGCGAAATCATGTTACCTGATTTTGGACTCCAAAGATTTATGTTCTTGGGGAAGACAAGAGAAATATTCAATAATGTAAGAAGTATGTAAAAATATGACACACGAAACTATAGGTCTCACTATAGGTCTTAACGTACCTATTGTAGGGATGGTCGTCACAATCTCTCCCAGCTTCAATTTATACAAGATAGTGGTTTTTCCAGCTGCGTCCAAACCCACCATAAGAATCCGCATCTCTTTTTTGCCAAATAGACTTTTAAACAGTTTTTCAAAGACGTTCCCCATCGTAAATGAATTGTTACCTGAATGAAAACAAAGGCAGTCAAGTCATTGTTCTTTGCAGAAATAAACAACATAGATATCTCTATTTGACATGGTTCCTAGTAAAATTTAAACACTTTAAGAACATTTTAACCAATGAGGAATAGTGTGGCTTGTTTTCAAAGGGAAATTCAACTAAGCCTTGTGGTGCCTTGGCAGAAAATTCTCTTTTCCACTGCAGCGTCCAGGCGGGATGGACAGAAGCACACTCTCTATGCGACCGCTATGGGGGCAGGATTCAGTCACTCTAAGCCTGGAAGCAATGCCGCAACAAACAGCTAAATTCTCTGGAATTGAGAACTTACGAAGCAGAGAACCAGCTTATTTTACAATGTGAAGCAAAGTCCTTAACACAGGTTAAGTATCAATATTGCTTAGCAATTTAGTAGTTGCCTTTGGCTAGCAGACAAAAACAACCAGAAAGAACCAAAAAAATTTCAGAGGAAATAGAGCATTAGGAAACAGCCCTGCTAACAGAGAAATTAACTAGGCAATGAGTTGAGAAGATACTGTACATAGCACCAGTTTTGAACATCACCTTACTCCCAACCAATTAAAAAAAATTTCTATTTGGGTCTCCCTGGTGGCGCAAGGGGTTAAGACGCAGCACTAGGAAGCTATCCTCAGCCACTGCACTAGGGAGGTGACCCACATGGTGCAGCAGACCTCTCCTGACTCCCCCCTTGCTCCCCTCTAGTGTATTTCAGCCAATCTGCCTATTGTGTTCCCCACTCTGTCTCTGGCGAATCCTCTGCACCTCTGGCCTGTACCCCAATTCTTATATGCATAAGTAAATCTTTAAAAAAATGTTATTGAATATAGTTTACATACAGATATAAACATACATAATAAAGATACAATGAAATGATTACCAGTCAAGCTTTCCTTATGCTCTTCTCCCAGTTATTAACCGCAAAAGGTTAATGACTCTTGACTTCTAACAACATAGATGTTCAATATCTCATACACACTCTGTAGAGTTGTATTAGAGCGTCTATAATGGGAACCAATGTAAAGACAGACTAGCTTTGCAGAGATTTACAGTCTTTTAACAGATTAGCCTTTCTGAAGCATAAGCTTGACATTTGAATAAAAGACAGAAGTAGTACTTCAGGCCGCTAATCAAACTCCAGGAAAACTACAAAGATTCTTCAGAAAGAAAAAGACAAATATCCTTGTTCCAGGGACTACAATTTGCCTTTTAAACTACTCACCAAAGGAAAACTTTACTCCTGGGCAGAGCAGGAGGAAAATGCAACCAGAACCACTAAGCTCCCATTCATCTGGACCCCAGTGACCTCAGAAGGGAGAGTCACAAATTCCTGGGGCCCCAGCTCTGACATTCGAGTTACCCACAGTAGGTAAACAGCATGGATGACGTCCAAGCACACCGCTTCCTTCTCAGACAGAGAAAGGGCGCCGCGTTTATCCTGCACATAAAGGAGCTACAGCTTGAATCATTCCTAGAAGGCCCGGGCAGAGAGTATATAAAAACCCGGTACACTGCAGCCCTCGAAATCTCGCTAGGCGACAAAACTAGAAATTCCTGGTCTTTGTTTCCGAGGGGAAAAAAGACAAAGAGCGGAGATGAGAAAGGCCGTAGGAACTTGCTGGGGGAAAGAAGGTACTTCCCGCTCAGACGCCCTCTGAGGCGAAAGCTGGTGCCCGATCCCTCCCCCAAGCGCACACAGGTCGCCTCCTGGGGCCGGGGGCCTGCTCCCCTCCCTCCGCCTGCGCACAGCCCGGGCCCCGGACCCCGCGGAGACCCTCTGGGGAAGAGGCCGCCCGCCCGGGCCCTCTCGAGACCTCCTGCCTCCAACACCAGCTGCCCTTCGGGGGAAGAGCGACCGGACCTCCAGGGCACCGAGGAAACAGGGGCACGCGGGCTCCCCGGGAGGCCCCCGAGTGCCCCTTGATCCCGGGGTCCGGGCGCTCCCCCCAACCTGCGCGCCCGCGGGAGCACCGAGGGCCCGCGGCGGCCGCCAACCTCTCAGATCCCCGCAGCCCCGACCCCACAGAGGGCGAACGAGCGACAGGGAGCCCAAGCCCTCCTCGCAGGTCCCTCGCAGCTCTCCAGCTCCCCGCCCGCCATCGGCGCGGAAATCCAGACAGGCCCCGAGCGCCGCTGCCCTTTCCCCGCCGACTGCGCTCACCTGTCGCCGCGCGGAGCCGAGAAACCGACACTGCTGCCTTTAGATTTCGGGTCCCCACTGCAAAATGGCGACCGACGCGGGGCGGGATCAGCAACCAACCAATCACCTTCCGCCTCTTGGAGCTTTTGCACCAATGAGCTCAAAGCTCCGTGAGTGACGACAATTCGGGCCAATGTGAAGGACAATATGAGTGTGGGGGAGGGGACCCGCCCCTCGCGACCTAGGCGACGGCACGAAGCTCTACAAATGCCGGGTTCATCATCCAATCACAGCTTTCTGCGTCCCGGCGAGACACGCCCACATGCCCCGCCCCACTGCCGCGCGCGACCAATCAGAAAAGTAAAAGGATTTCCCATTGCTCCGCCAATCAACTAGGAAAAATCCCAAGGATTGAACTAACCCGGGAGAATTCGGACCAACCCGGTGGGGGGTTGTGGGCGGGGTCAAAGGCGCGGTGCTATTTAAGGAAATTTGCCCGGGTTGAGCTAAAAGTAGAAAGTAGTTTGGGTGGAGTTCTGTGTCGGAAAGTTTCAGCCACAGACACCGAAATTAGGAATAAGGAAGACTTCCTATTCAGGCTGAAGCTGGACGGCAGCTCTGCCTCTAAAAAGGGTGTCCCGGGGGCCTCCCTGGTGGCGGGGGCGGGGGGGGGGGCTTTAAAGACAGCGCTGTCAGCCACGAGTTCCAGCCCCCGCCAGGGGGCTACCCACATGGCGCGGCAGACCTCTCCTGGCTCGCCCAATGCTCCCCTCAGCAGTGTATTTCGTCAGTCTGCCTGTTCTGTTCTTCGCTCTGTCTCTGGTGAATCCTCTCACCCTCCCGCACATCTGGCCTGTGACCCAGTTCTTTATGCATAAATAAATAAATCTTTAAATAAAAAGGATTTTCAACAGTTGGGCAGAATGCGAACCACCTGCACCTTTGTTCAGGTGTGGAAAAACCATGGTTTTCACTTCTGAAAAATGCTCTCAATAACTCCTAGATGCCGGCTTGCATAGCTTAAAAAAAAAAAGCCTTGCATAGCTTTAAAAAAAAAAAAAAGGCCTTGCATATCTTAAAAAAAAAAAAAGCCTTACATAACTGAGATAACCAGAAAAACTAACAACAACTAACTGAACGCATAATCTGTGCCAAGAATTTATGTCAAGGACTTTACCTGCATGGCCATATCGCCCAGTGAGTTAAAAACTATCATTTCTGTTTTACAAAGAGAAAAATGAAGTAGCCAGATAGATTCAAGCGTAGGTCTGTCTGATAGCTTAATCTTTTTAACCAAATAACTTCTTGGTCACAGTGATTGTATATGAGAGTAAATGTAAATTATATGAGAGGTGTCTACATGACTCTTCAAACATTATTTTTTATAACAATAGAAATTTATCCAAGTTTTTAAATATATGAGAAAAAAGGCCGTCATCAACAGAAAGAGAAGAAAAAGGAGGTGGAGAAAAGAAAATCTCCCATCATCAAACTGTTATGGAGAGGCAATCACTGTTACTTCAGTTTTTTTCTTTCCAGTCATTTTTCTATGAAATTTTTACATAGTTCAGATTATTAATACATATTATTTTGACTTTTTTTCAGTTAACATTTTGAGTATTTTCCACATTGTTTAACATTTTTGATGGCTGTGTGATATCTATCATATGGGGGTAACACGGTACCACGATATGTTTAATCAATTTCTGTAGTTCAACATTTAGATTTTTTTAAATCTTTCTAGTATGAGTGACGTTGCAGTGAGCATTTTTTTTTTTCATTCCAGCATTCTTTCCTATTTAGGAAAAAATTCCAAAAGTGGAATCACTGGGTCAAAACATGAAGATATTTAATGTTCTTGATATGTATTACTTTGCCAAATTGTTTTTTCAATAGATTACACAAATTTACATCCCCACCAACCAAATGAAAGCCACTATAACTTCATCATTGGTAAGCTATTTTAAGAAAAAAGGGTTTTTAGTGTTTTGTTTGCTAATTTAATAACATATTTTTTTTAACTTTTCATTGGTTTAATTTTCATTTCTATGATGACTTATTTTTCTAAATATTTACTCATGCTTTTATTTAATCTACTACAAATGATCTATTCATGTTTTCCTGCTAACTTTCAAGGAAAGTTGTAAAGTTGCCTTACCAGCAGCTACGAAAGTTTGAAGGAAGTCATCATAAGGGGGTGGAAGAACAAGTGAAGTAGCAAAGATAAGATTTTTATGTACCATACTATTGTTTATACCTACAGAAGTAGTGTAGGGTTGATTATAAAGGGACTTTATTCCTCCAGTGCTCACAACCTGAGAATATACATTATTTCTCCTAGATCTGATCATGCCTATTAATAAAACAAAGTCCCTGCGAACATGACACTCAATTGTTAGTGAATCAGAACCATTAGAACCATACATACATCTATATATATATATATATATAAATATATGGAGAGAGAGAGGGAAAGAAAGAGAATAATGGAATATACAGGTGGTCTAGAAGAAAATGAACCTAACTTACTAGTGATTGTATTAAGGAGGTAGGGTTATGATTTTTTAAAGTAATTTTTAACTTACTGTACTAATTTTATAATGTCAAACAACTTGCTTCTCACAAAATACAAAACTGACAATAGGAAGGGGGTTTGATTGAAATGTTAGCTGCTCAGGGGAAATTCAGTTATCAGTTCAAACTGATAACTCAATAAACTCAAACTGCTTAGGGTACAATTGATTGAGTGGGGGGTATTTCTTAATTGAAAACACTTCCTGTCAATATAATGTTTGTACAGCATGGGAAGTATAAAGTGCTTCTGGGAGAAGCAGAAAGATCATTTCATCTTGAAAAATGTCTTGTTTGGAAGTAGCTCCCAATTAAATGTTAAAATTGGTTGAAACACTTGTGCACAGTGTTCTTGGTCACAGTTACAGTTCTCTCGGTGGTAGTTAGTACTGCTTTGGAACTGCTGGCTCAGTTGCTGAATAAATTAGGTACTTTGTTAACAATCTCATCTCATTCTCACATGAAAACATTTGTTTTGAGAGTATAAATATCACACAGAATACCAAGACCACCTTTCTCCCCACTGTCACTAGATGTGTCCTCTGTTCTGGTCATACGTGTACTCAAGAGATGCTTTCTCCCTTTCTTGGAAACCCTGCTCTCTGTGGTCCTTGCCTTAGAAACAGTCCTCCAGTAGATTCACCCTCAGGAAGAACCTTCCTCTTTCCTAGTTGCTCTCCAGAGAAATCACAAGTAGCCAAGAGAGTCCTCCGCAGTTAGCTGTAGTTTGTGGGCCTCTAGTGTCTTGTGGTTGTAAGAAATTCAGTCCCTCCCAGGAGACTATGACTTCCTTTTCTCAAGATGCATAAAAGCTCATTAGGCCAGTGTCTGAATGATCCCTCTTCCAGGAGCTGCAGGCAGTTCTCTGGACCCACAATGTTCTTTTGCAGCCTAGCAAGTGCATTGGGGCTTACACTAAAGGATCATTCGGTTGCCATAGCAACAGTCCTTCCTTTCGGAGAGGATTCTGTCATCTCTCCTGCCCACTCAGACTTTCCAGATGAATTGATTTTTGTGACTATAGGTGTTTGTCCTTGATCCTCTAAAGATAAAAGACATATTCATTAAAAAAAATATCCAACAATAAAAAACCTGACTGCAGCTAAACTACTGCATTGCATCAGCTGGGCTTCCTTTCTTTGAAAATTCCATATCCATTCTCCATTTTGCTTCACTCTCTAGCCTTATCCATCATTTTGGAGAAGAGATTTCTCTAACAGAAAACAAACAGATGGCAATGCCATCTTCCTAAAACAAGCTAAGATGGGACTGTAAAATGAAGTTCCCAACAAGCTTGGGCTGGGGGTGGGTGACCTGTGGGTTATGTTGGAGGGGCGAGAATAGGATTGCTGTGCATATGTAGCCCTGCCACAGAGCTGTCAGTCTCTGGAATTTTGCCATTTGAGATGTGTTTACTGGGTTAGGCATTTTTTGCCTCCCATTACATTCTCTTCAATTGCATATTATCTTCTGGGAAGATAATATATGAGGCTACTAAGACTGAAGGAACATTTAAAAAGCGAGGCGGTGGCGTAGAGGGAAGGGTAAAGGAATTCTGTAGACCCCCTTTATCTACAATGACATCTTCTGCAAAAGGATCATTGCAGGTCCTTGTCACACATACACACCCCCCTGGAGGATGCCCTCTGACATTTACAATGGGGTGAGCTCTCTGCACAATACTGTACCCCTTAAAGTTACTAAAAACTTTGTTCCCAGCACCATTTGTTTAACCCTCCAGTTTCCACAAACTAAAGGGAACGTTCCCTCGATTATTGTGGAAATCATCAAAAAGGTGCATTATTTTGTTGGATGACAGTGAATCAGTTCACATCTATGTAGTTTAGCACTATGTAAATGAAATACTACACAGAAGAAATTAATTTTCCCCCCAGGTATATTCCACAATTGTTACAACCAAATGTTTATGTAAGCAAAAGTTACTTAGTCCCACGCCAATGGAGCACTTATGAGTGATGTTTAATGAGAAGGAATTTTAACATAAAATTCTGTCTATGTAGTCTTCAAGTCTTTCAATCAGGCCTCCACTTATAAATAATGATCACCTATTGGGGAAACAAGAGATAATACTAAGTTTCTCTATGTAAAAGGAGTTTCCGGTGAGCTATGAAGAAATCATTCCAGGCTTTTACATAGCAAAACTTAATTGTGTATATATATTTAAATACGTATTTTATATATATAGTATATAAATGTATACATTTAGTTATTTTAATTAACTATATAAATTTATTTGAAAAAACTGAGTTGCACTTTTGGAGGTTTGAAGGGTTAAAAAATCTGATGCTGTGGGGCTGGCAAACCGGAGATTCAGGAAAGAGTTGCAGTTCAAGTGCAAAGGCAGTCTGCTGGAGAATTGCCTCTTGCCCTGGGGAGATCAACCCAGTTCTCTGGGGAGATCAACCCAACTTCAATTCAGGCTTTCAACTGCTTTAGATGAGGCCCACCAACATTATGGAGAGTAATCTGCTCTACTCAGAGCCCATGGATTTAAGTGTAAACTGAATCCAAAAATGTCCCCATGGAAACATCCAAAATGCTTGACCAAGTGTCTGGGCACCATGAATCAGCCACACTGACACATAAAATTAACTATCATACTAGGCTGTGTTCAGCAAGAACTGGACTTGGCAAGCCCTTCCCATTTGCACCCTCCCTTCTATTTCAGCATCATCATCTTCTCTCCCCATCTTTCAGGTATCGAATCCTTAGAACATGATGTTAGTCATTTAGGTTTTAGGTTAAATTTAAGTCATTGTTAGCTCTTACCTATTTTCTCACTGTAAAAGGAGAGCATAATAAAAGAATTTCAGAGAACAATGAAGACCTGAGGGAGGTTCTTTGTGGGTTTATTATTATTTTTTTAAGATTTATTTATTCATGCATACAAGAACTGGGGTACAGGCCAGAGGTGTGGGAGGGTGAGAGAATTCATCGAGTGACAGAGCGGGGAGCAGAACTGACAGAAGGACCGAAGTACACTGCTAAGGGGAGCAGCGGGCAAGACAAGAGAGGTCTGCCATGCCATGTGGGTATCTCTGCCGGCCTGCCGGGATAGAACCCGCACTGCAGAGGCTGCAGACAGCTTCACTGCACTGCGCTCAACCGCCTGGGCCACCAAGGAGGCCCTTTTTTTTTTTTTTTTTTAATGAAGGAAAAGAGAATGACTGACTCATAGAAATCAAGACAAAAATTTTGCAAAAGTCACAAACCTGGTAAACTCCAGGGGTCTGCATAATGAGTGTGTCACCATTGTGGTCAATTTCTATTGACTATATTTCATCCTCAGGATAGTCAAGATTTATTGTTTGGGAAAGACAGCATCTGATTCAGAGTCTCTTCCCTCCTGGGGCAGGGGAGGGAGGTTACCATGTCTGAAAATGCTTCCAACACTACACAAACTAGGAGAGCAAAGATCAAAAAAGGGGGTATGGATTTGGGGTAGCAAAAATATTTGTTGTCTATCATATATCACTGCAAGGTAATGCAGGTCAGCTCCACTCTGCTTCTATGACCTTCAGTTTCAGCAACGCGCAGATGGGAGGCAAGGACACGTCACCACCTGGAGCAATGTCTCATTGCTCTTCCTCTCCAGCTGGATCCTGCACACTTAAAGACAGGAGCTCATGGCTGTCTTACAATTTCTTTGGTAGGTCCTTCATGGCTGTGCACACGATTTTATTGAATTTAAACCACTTGTGAGAGGATACATAGGACGCTTATTGTGTGGGTAATATGCTCATAAACTGACACACTGGAATCTCTCTACAGACCTGCAGTCCTCCTGGGTGGAGAAATTGAGGACATTTTCCTGTGCAATCTAGGTAAGCAAGACAACAGCACAAGGGCATAGATACATACTTTTGTATTTTTCTCTGGTCTTGAAAATAATGTCACCTCATTGGACTGAGAGTCAGTGTCATCTTTTGGAGCATATAACTATTTGGATAAAACCTCTTTGATTTACAGATTCACAATCAAAGTATCAAAATGTAAGCCAACCAACCATGAAGCTCATCTAATTGTACCTGACACATTACAAATAAGGAAACTGAGGCTCTGGGGGTTGAAAGGACATAGCCAGGGAGTGGCTGAGTGATGGAACAAGGAAAAGAACCCAGACCTCCTTACTTCCTAGTCCATTCGAAATGTTTTTATAGCTTTTGCAAATGAATAGGTCAGGGTTCAATTGTTTCCTATCTTTCCTGATAAACTCTCTGATTCACCCAAACCAGTTTGTCCCACAAAGCACTGTGGCTGTCAGGTGCAGAAGGACAGTTTATACAACTGGCCTGTATTTTGCCTCCATCCCCCAGGGCCATTTCTAGTCATTGATTTTTATTAGTTCTCTGTTTTAAATCGCTAAGCATATCCAACTCCTCTCATCCTTTCTTTCCTCCTATTGGAAAAAAAAAATGTTTTTTAGTTAACTGTGAGAAAAGAAAATTAAGCCCTACCACTTCTTACTGTCTGTGTAAATATGAAGAGAAATATAAGGAAGGGAATAAAAGCATTTGGCAGAATCTTTATACAGCGTTCTGTTCCTGCTCTTGTTATTAGTATTACTACTACTATCTATTCAGAGATTCCAGTGAGGAAATCTTATGGTAGATAGCAAATACGCAGGTTTTTAAAAGGCCAAACAAATTAAGGGTAGATTGTACTCCCAATTACCACTATATAAAATACTGTCTAAAGCGAAACCACTGGGGGATGACAAAGGTGGTTAAAAATACAATTACCTTTCTAAAGAGGAACGTGAAAGTTAATATATAGATATAAAATACTCATAATTCACTTTTAAATTTGTAAAAACGAGTTCTCCAAGTGATACATAGATCATCATAAATGCCAACGTTGATCATTTCCAGGAACTGGGAAAACAAGTCCACCTACAAGAGAAAAGCCCGACTTCACGCAGACCTTGAACCTGGAGCCAGGTGCTGGTTACCCATGTTCTAGCAGGAAGGCCTGGACTACACGGGGTGCTCTTCCTACAAGATCCCATTTCTGGGGAGCTGAAACACATAGCTAAAAGGCCTTTAAAAGGCACACAGCAGCAGACAAGGAGACAGGTAGGGGCCGAGCCATTCAACGCATGAAAGACCTTCCTACAAAGTAGCTGTAACCCTTGCAAAAGCACCCCTGAGACCGTCGCTGGCGGAGACGGCCGCTCTGCAAACAGCCTCAGCCTCCGCCGCGCCGGCCGCTCCCCCCAAAATGGCGCCGCCGCCCCGCCCTCCCGGCGGCCCGCGGGCACGCGCGCGCCCTGCGGGGCCGAGGCGCCGGGGTCGCGGCCGGGCGCGCGCGCGGCCCCACGGCGGCTGCGCGCCTGCGCGAGGGCGGGCGGCGGGCGCGCGCGCGGCGGGGGCGGGCTGTGCTGAGCGCGGAGCTGCAGCCGCCGAGCCGGACGTGTCCGCGAAGATGGCGGGCCGGGTGAGTGCCGGCCAGGGCGCCCGGGCTCGCGGCGGGGCGCCGGGCTCGCGGGCACTCGGAGGTCCAGACCACCCCAGGGGCGGGGGAGTGAGTCTGTGTAATTGGGGTGTTTGATGGGGCGGCAAGTCAAGAGAGGCTGGAGGGGAGAAGGGGGACCGGTGGCAGGGGATTAGCCCTCCTTGGAAAGTCCATCCCCCCCTTGGGAAGCCGGAGGAGAGGTGACCCCTTCGCATCTCGGGTCTCCTGAGTGCCCCCTAATTCTCCCAAATCAGCCCTTGGGACCTGATCCCTGCGCCCCTCAAGGCAGCCTCAGCTCTGGTCATCCCAGCCGGGTCTGACGGGGCTCTGGGGGGTTCTCCGCACCCCTTCGGCGGGGCTCGCTAGGGGCAGCCGCTGGGATAACTGCGGGGTGTCGTCTGCTGCAGTGGAGCGAGGGAGGTGGGAAGGATCATTAGGAACCCATTTGTGGTTCTTCACATGAAAGGTCTGGAGAAAGGAAGAGGGGGTGCAAAGGACTTTTAGTGTCAAACCCCGGCCATCTGGGGGACCTGTCACTGTCGGAGCGGGCACGAATTTGGGGTGTCGCGTTTTGCCTTTTTGAATGACAGTCGCTACGAATGCAGCAGGATATGTTGTAGTTTTTAGGGTTTTAAATTTTACTTCCTCCTTTAGCCTGTAGGATCGCCCTATAGGATGGGTTTGGTGAGGGGAGATAGGGCTGGTTCTGTGCTGTATTGCAGTGTGCCTTGAGCAAAAAGCCCTGTGAGGCATGGATCCTGCCCAGAGATTACACTGGCCTTAAACCTGGGACATTAACTGCGTCATTGGGGGATAAGGATGTGCTTGCCTGATTTATTTATACTGGAATATTTGAATAAGTTTGCATAGACTTATGCATACATACAAATGTCTACCTAAAGGAAATTGTAAGTCATGAGATTCTAGGGTCAGAAGAGACCTTAAAGGTCATTTAATTTAGTCCGACCTCTTTCTCTTCCTTTCCCCCTTTCATGGAGAAGCTATGGGGGAAAGGCCAGACCTGTGCTTCAGTTTGTCTTTTCCCACCTTCTCAGAAACTTCTTCACCTGATGATTAACTTTCTCGAGCTTCTCCCATCTTAAAACAAATCCTTCCTCCACCCCCACACTTGTCATCTTTTCTCTCCCCACTTGCCAGCCAGATAGCTTGATAGAGTTGTCTATATTTTTTGTCTCCCATTTGCTTACCGCCTATTTAACCCTCAGTGCACCGCAGTCTGATTTTCGGCTCCATCATCCACTGAAACGTGTTGGTAAAATAGATATTTTTCACTCCTTGACTTAATGTCTCAACAGCTATCGACGCTGTTGACTGTTGGTCTCCTTGGAAAATACCCTTGCCTTGGCTTCTGTGAAACCTTGTTCCTGTTTTTACTCTTCTCTTTTGCAGACTCACTCTCCTCTGCCCTGTTAATCAATGCAGGTATTCCTCAAGGCTCTCTATTTTCCCCTCAGGAAATCTCCGTTAAGTCCACAGCTTCAGTTACTGCCTATCTGACAGTGATTCTCAATATTTGACCCCCAGTCCAGACATATGCTTTAAGTTCCAGACTAATAAGTCAACTGCCTGTTTAAACCAAGACACTACAAATTCAACATGTTCGAATCGGAACCCATGATCTTAGCTTACATAGTTAGTATTTCCCCCTTGTTTCTCATTGCAGTGAATGGCAACCCCATCCATCCAGTCATATAGGTTCCAGCCCCCCCAAACCCCTCAAAGGATGTTATTATGGCCAAAGAATCTGGCTTGGGGCATTGCTGCTTTAAACTATCTCCAGATCACCCACTAGATGGGTCACATGTTCTGTTATTTTAATGTCCTAGAAATCTCTCCAATCTGTCCTCTCTACATCTTCATTTCCATATCCTTTCCCCAAAGTATTACCACTATTTGTCTGAACTACTGCAAGAAGTTTGGAAATGGTTTGCTTATGACATTCTCCACATTGATTATTCCCTGCCATGCTCATTGTCATAAAACCCCCTCCTTCAACAGCGCCCCATTACTTTTGGTAGAAGATCAGATCCTTAGCCAGGCCTTCAAGGCCCTTTGTGGTTCTGCTCCTGCTTCTCTCCACTCACCCCCTTACTTACTATGTTCAGTAATATAAGCCTTCCCATTCCTTCAACTCATAGTAGTTTCTCTTACTACAAGATCTTGCATATTCCTTGTAATGTTTTGCTCCCAGTCATTTACCTCCTACCGGTAGATCACTCAGGGAAACCTATTTTGATCCACACTGCAAGTCAGGATCCTTTGTTATTGCTCTGTAAGAACTGTACTTTTTTTTCTAAGAGATTTATTTCTGTCATTTCAAATTTCTTTGTGTGATTATTTGTCTCTACTATTTACCTTCTATGAAAGCAGAGACCGTGTAGGCCTTTTACTCACTATTATCATCTGTGCTTTGCATATGCCCTGGGGCCTAGGTGCTCAGTACATTTATGTTGAGAATGAATCTAATCTCTGAATACCCTAGTGACAGAGAATGCATCATGTTAGTGTCATGTTAGTTTTTTTTTATGTGGAGTTCCATGTAACTTGTACATAAAGATATTATTTCTGCTGTTTAGAACTTCATAGAGCTAAATACAGCTCCTTTTCCATAAGATAGCTTCTCAGATATTGAAGACAGGTTACTTATTCCCTCAGATTTTCTGTTTTACAAATTAAACATCCCCAGTTCTTCAGCTCTCCTGTATAATAAATCCTTCCTCATTTAGGTTATTCTTCCTTTGGAAATGCTCTGTTTTGTCAGTGTTTCTTCTTTTTTTTTTTAATTAATTTATTTATTTATACAAGCACTGGGTACAGTCAGAAGTGCGGGAGGGTGAGAGAATTCACCAAAGCCAGAGCAGGGAACAGAACAGGCAGACCGACAAAATACATTGCTGAGGGGAGCAGCGGGCGGCAGGAGAGATCTGCATGCCATGTGGAACCATCGCTGGTGCCTGGGGATCGAACCGGCGCTGCAGAGGCTTCAGGTAGCTTCGCAGCCCAGCGCTCAACCGCTGCGCCACCAGGGGAGGCCCTGTCAGTGTTTCTTCTAAATGTGCTCAGGGTAGAACACCGTGAACAGTGAAAAAACGTATTTGAACTATTTATATTCTCTTGAGCTTGACCCTGCCAGTTGCTACAGAGTAAAATTGTATTTATTTTCCCTACAATAAATCATGTTCTTTGCTCATATTGAGCTTACAGTCAATTAGAACTTTCATGTTCTTTTAAAATCAGCTCCTCCACCCCTAATCTAGGTATTGTGCAATTATTTTATTGAGCTTAAGTATAAGACTTTGTCTTTATCCCCTTTACAGTTCATTTTTGTTAGGTCAGGGCATGTCTGCTACTTGTTGAAGGTCTTCTTGATTCTTTCATGTTATGCAACATAATAGCTCTCTCTCGTAGGCTTAATAGTCATGACTTTTGTGTCTGTGTTGAAGGCACTGATGAAAGGTAGAAAAAGAAGAGTCAGAAATGGCCCTTGAGCATCATGCTAGGGCTTCTTATCTAGGCCAGCACATCAGTACATTTTGGGTACCAGTGCTTACCTACACATAGATCTCATTTAATCCTAACAAAACCACCGTGCAAGGTGAGTAGTACCAGCTTTGTTTTTAATCAGATACTGACTCACAAACTTGACAAGTTCACAGCCAACAAGATGGGTGAGAATTTGAGGGTTGGATACTGTTATCTAATTCACCAGTTTAGTTTCAAGGAAATAAAGAAGGGTAGATTTGCCTTACCTAGACGTATTTTTTTTTTTTTTTTTTTTTTGGTGTAGAAGAACTTGGGTGTAGGTCAGCAGTGTGGGGGTGAAAGGACCCACCAGAGAAAGAGTGGGGAGCAGAACAGGCAGATCAGCTGAAATACACTGCAGAGGGGAGTGAGACTGGAGAGGTCTGCTGGGCCACATGTGGGCTAGTTCCTTGGGCATTGACCCCAGCTGTAGTAGTGACAGCGCTGAGACCCAACCCCTAGACCACCAGGGAGTGGTGGTCTAGAATGTTTTAGAATTTGCTGTGAAAGTTTAAAACTACTGGCCTACCTTTTGAAAAATCTGAACACTTTTGGCACATCTCTGAATGTTTTATTTCTCCTGGGGGCCATAATTTTCAAATAACTACCTATTGATGTTTAGCGAATAGAATTAGCCTCATTACAATACGCTTAAAAAACCTTCTGTATTTCCTTTTTGTGGGAAAAGAGCTGTTTTGAATTATTATTGCTTTTGATTAGTTAATTTTGACATTCTGATGCCATCTTGTAAATGTATTTATATTCATATACATTCAAAATATATTTATATTCGTAATTAGAGATTTTTTTGTTTATGCCACTATTGTTACCATTAATAGCATTAGTAACCTATTTATCTTGTCCTTTGCTTTTTCTGACTTAAAACATTTAGTTCATCTGCGAAATTTGATGAAGAATAAAACATGTGATTTATTAACGTTGAGGCTGTCAGAACTTGATTAATCCCTAAAATAACTTCAGACCCCTAATCTGAACAGTAAAGAGCATAAAAGAAAATAATTTTTCTCATTGTTGTTTTAGTGTATTTATTATTTGAGAAAAAAATATGGAATGGTTAGTTGGATACATTTTTTAAAAAGATTTATTTATTTATGCATACAAGAACTGGGGTACAGGCCAGAGGTATGGGGTCTGAGAGGATTCACCAGAGACAGAGTGGGGAACAGAACAGGCAGATCGACTGAAATACACTGCTGAGGGGAGCAGCGGGCGAGCCAGGAGAGGTCTGCTGTGCCATGTGGGCTCCTCCCTGGCCGGCAGTGGCTGCGGATATCTTTACCCCTTGTGCCACCAGGTAGGCCCATGGATACATTTTATAGTAAAATGACCAATCTATTTAAACTTATCTGGTTCCCATTAGCCTTTCAAAAAGATTCAGTTAGTAAATAAGTTTTCTTGGCTGTTTTAAATTTTTGCTA